CACACTGGGTTGTCATTTATTGTGTCGCTGATGATGCCATGATCGTTCACGTGCAGTATTTTTGGGTGGCATGTTTCCAGGGTCCTAGGATGTTCACATAGGAGTGCCGTTGCCGGCTCCCAGGTGACCTTCTGTTTGCACTCCCACCAGCCACCTAGGAGGCTCCGTCCAAGTTCTTGTCGACACTTGCGACTGTCTGCCTTTGGATCCTAGCCATCCTGGTAGGGGAGGGCCGCTGTGGTTTGGACAGACTGGCTGCCTCTGGAAATGTCAGCCTGGCTGGGCACTGGGGTGCATGCCTGTAATCCCAGGGGCTCAGTGGTCAGGCACCTCTGGACTCAATCCCCTGTGCAAAAAAGAAGTCAAACTGAATTGCCTCGTTGGGGTCAGGCTTGGGGCCAACGTCTATGGCGAGAGTTCTACAGAGGGTGTATCTATAGCCTCTCAGGGCACACAGTGTCCATTTGTGCCCCTCCTCTGCCTGTTAGTGTGGGTCTGGGTCACTTGGTTGAGGCAGGGCAGCCCCTCAGCTTATACCACCCTTTCTCTGCCATTCCTGTTCTACATGTATGTCCCTCCATTTATGTTTATCTCACCATCTTTCCTTCCTGCCACCACCGCCCCCCCCCCCCCCCCCCAGTACAGGGTCTTGTTACACTGAGCCATGTCCCAAACCCTTTTTTTTTTGAAAAATTTTTTTAATATTTTTTAGTTTTTTGATGGACCTTTATTTTATTTATTTGTATATGGTGCTGAGAATCGAACCCAGTGCGTCACACATGCTAGGCAAGCGTGCTATCACTGAACTACAACCTCAGCTCCTTTTTTTAAAGTTTTTGATGGACCTTTATTTTACTTATTTTATTTTTATGTGGTGCTGAGACTTGAACCCAGTGTCTCACAAGCGCTCTGCCACTCAATCCCAGCCCTCCAGCTATTTTATTTTATTGTGAGACAGGGTCTCGCTAAGTTGCTTAGGGCCTTGCTAAGCTGCCCTCCTCCTGGCTCAGCCTCCTGGGCTCTGGAGTCCCAGGCCTCTGTGGGTGAGTCCTCAGATGCCTGGGAAACCTCTCACTCAGAGAATCTCACCCCTCTCTGGCTCGCTCCAGGGGACACTTGACCTGGTTTTCCCCTGGGCCAGTTTGCGTGTGCTGGGGTGGAGGGAGATGGGATGGGAAGGCCACTGTCTGCGTGGCCTTGCTCTCCCTGCGCCAGAGGGGGCTGAGGAGCCTGGGTGCGAGTGGCCTTGGCCCTCCCTTGGTGGGGGCCTCGGAGTTCACACCCCTGACCCTTGTTTCAACTTTTTGTTTTGATAATTGTCCAGCGTAGGCAAAGGTAGGGAGGAGAGCAGCGTGTACCTGGGCACCATCCCCCGCCCTTCCTGCCACTCTGGGGACATCCAGCCTCTGCTTAAATTTTTTTTTTTTTTTGCAGTACTATGGACCGAACCCAAGACCTCGCACCACCAGGGTGGCAAGTGCTCTGTTGCTGTTAGAGCCCCTGTGGTGGTTTTTTTTTTTGGGGGGGGGGGCCTGGAATAGTATTTTAAAGAGAGCACAAGACACAGTGACGAGGTCATCTTAAGTATTTCCATCTGTGTCTTCAGTGAATTTTTGTAAAATTCGTTTCCCTGATACCATTGTCACAGCTCAGAACTGTTCCTGTTGCCTAACCCAAATCCATTTCTTTTTTTATATATATATTTTTTAATTTTTAATATTTATTTTTCAGTTTTTGGCGGACACAACATCTTTGTATCTGGTGCTGAGGATCGAACCCGGGCCGCATGCATGCCAGGCGAGCGCGCTACCGCTTGAGCCGCATCCCCAGCCCCAAATCCATTTCTGATTTCCCTGAAGTACAGGGTTTTTACAAAGTCTTTGAATTAGAATGCAAACAAAATCTTTGTGTATGTGAACGATATGGTCTTTAAGTCTTTGTGCTTAATGTGTTTTAGTTGTAGATGGACACTATACCTTTATTTTATTTATTTTTTTTTGTGGTGCTGAGGATCGAACCCAGTGCCTCCCACTTGCTGGGCGAGTGCTCTACTGCTGAGCCCCAGCCCCAGCCCCCTTAAATCTTTTTGAATTTGTGGTGCTGGGGTTGGACCCAGCCCCCGCCCCATGTGCCCGGCAAGGGCTCTGCCACTGGGTGCACCTCCAGCCTTGTTTTTGGCCTTGAGCTTTCGATCCTCCTGCCTCAGCCTCCCTCCCGGGTGGCTGGGATTACTGCCCTCCGCTTGGCTGTAATACTGTTTTGTTTGGCTGAGAGTCTGGTCTGGTTGGTAGCAGGTGTGCTGCGCCAGGCTCCGAAGCTGGTGCCCTGCCCACATGCCTTCCCTCTCCTTTAACCTGTCCCCTGGGCCAGCAGAGCTAGGGGCTGGGCTCAGTTTGGCCCTTTGGGTCTCTGATGGATCTGCTTCCAGACCCGGGGCTTCCTGAGGCCCCAGCCCTGGAGTCTGTCTGCCTGGGTACCACGCCCGGAGCTGCCCACCGGGAGGCTGGAGAGCAGAGATGCGTGTCCCCAGGTTGGAAGCTGGAACTGAGGTGGCAGGGAGCTGGGTCCTCCTGGGCCCCACACCATCTTCTCTGGATCGCATGGCTGTCCCTTTGTCCTCATGTCTTTACAAGGACACCAGTCCTGCCAGACTCGGGCCACACCAATGCCTTAGTTTAACCTTAATTGTCTCTATAAAGGGACCCCGACTCCAAAGAGTCACCTTTTGAGGCCACACCTGTGACCCTGGAGTTAGGGGCTCAATGCCTGAATTGGGGGCACGGCGGAGGGCTTTTCACTCCCCTGGCACACCTGTCCTCATCCAGACCAGGTGCCTCCAGGGAGCAGCCAGGCCAGCCCTGCGGAAGGGACAGGGCCCCCCAGTGCCAGGTGGGCCTCCACCAGGTCCGTCTTCTCGCCCACCCTGCCGCAGGGGAGGTGGGCGCTTCTCGCCCTGGGAAAGTCCTCCCCTGGACGCGCCTTCCTGCCCTGCCAGGTGCTGCTTGGACCCACCTGCTCCTCAGGTTCAGCACCTGTGGCAGGCTCGGGTTGCACCGGAGGTGTTCTCCAAGGCGGGGTCTGATAGAGGCCACCTCCCGGCTCTTGCTGAGCACCAGGCCCCAGGCTGGGGCCTTGGCAGGTCCTGTGTTGGATCCTCCCGGCCCGTTTTCCAGCTGGGAAAACTGAGGCCAGCAGGCTCAGTGGTGTGAGCAGCAATGCCCTTTGTCCCCATGGTGCCTGCTGCTGGGACACTTAGTGACACCGAGGGGTCTGCCACCTTTCCTCACAAAAGCCTCTTGTTCCCCCCCATTTGAATGAGTCGTCAGAATCGCTGCAGATGGCCCAGCATGGCCCGTTGTGGTCCCCTGTGGGTGAAGCACTGTCTGGCACCCCGAGGGAAGGGTGCCCCTCGGCTGTGCTGTGGGCTTTGCTATGGGCTTTGCTGCTGCGAGGGTGAGCCTGCCACATGGTCTCTAGTGACAGGTCGGCCTGCAGGAAGCGCTGCTGTGGGGACACTCGTGTGCAGTGGGCAGGGCAGGGCAGTCCTGCACAGGACAGCAGAGTAGGGCCGCCTAGGTTGGGTGGAGGGGAATGGGTGCTGCTCATGGGGATGATGGGAAAGTCGGAGCTGGGTTCAGGCCCTCTTGAGTTTCAGCTCTCTCCCCACAGCCCCTGGCAGCCGTGTCCAGCCTCTGGATCTGCCTGTTCTAGGTTCCTGGTGCGCGGACAGTCTTACTGCGTGTGGCCTTGTGCCTGCTGCTTTGGTGTGACTTCTTGAGGGTCCCCCATGTGGTGTGAGTCAGTGCTTCATTCCTTCCTCCCGGCCCTGGGGTAACCCATCGTCAGATGTGGGACACTGTTCATCTGCTGTTGGTGGGCGTCCATGTGGTCCTGGGACAGACGGCCAGGTGCTTACCGCTAGACAGTTTCTTTTTTAGAGTGGACAATCTTGGTTGACGTTTACTGTGTGTCAAGCATCACTTAACAGTGCTGTGTGCTGAGAAGCTGGGCCGTCTCTCAAGGCTGAGAGATGGACGGCCTCACAGGACATTTTGGGGTCAGGGCTTCTGTTGGAATGTTGGGTGTTAGCGGGAGTTCTGACCATTGACCCTGTGCTCGCCACAACCAGGCGAGGTGGGTGCTAGTCCCCACCTGGCAGCTGGAGCCCTGAAGCCCGGGGACATAGAAATCTGTAAGGTATCCCGTGGCTGCCCAAGTGAGGCCGAGCTCACTTGACCGAAGGTTGTGCTCTCCTGGCTGATGATCTAACCCCACCCCTCTCTCCTAGTCTTTCGAGAACTTAAAGTACTGTAGTTAAGCCACACCTTGTGCCCGCTGGTGCCTGTAATCCCAGCTACTTGGGAGGCTGAGGTGGGAGGATTGCTCCCAGGAAGCTGTCATGCTGGAGTTTAAAGAATCTGTCCTCTTGATGTCAGAGTTACTCCCTCGGAGGGCCAACCTCCAGGTGAACTAGGTTTGGGACAGAAACTCTCATTTTATGTATTTTTAGTTGTAGATGGACACAACACCTTCATTTTATTTATTGATTTTTATGTGGTGCTAAGGATCAAACCCAGGGCCTCTCGCACGTGCTAGGCGAGCACTCTTCTGCTGAGCCACCACCCCAGCCCCAGAAACTCCCACTCTTTAGAAGTGAAAAACCAGGCAAAGGAGCAGAGACCTGGCCAAGAGTAAGCAGGACTGCTAGAGCAATGGCAGTCACAGTGCTGCTGCTTTGAGGCCTCATCCCCTAGAAATGCCTCTTGGCCTTGGAAGGGAGAAGCTGCGTGTTGCCAGATCCTGCTCAGCAGTTGACCTGCTGTCCACTCACGCCAAGTTCAAGTTCTTCCCCGGGCTTCTCAACCACTCTCATTCCATCTGGGTGGCTCACCCTCCTGTGGAGGTGTCATCTCCTGAGCTCAGCACTCACTTCTTGACCAGATTAGGACGATGGTGGTGCCATGGCCAACTTCATAGAGACCATTTTCTTGTTTCTGCAGTTTTTGACCCGGCTGACTGAGAGGTTCGTGCTGGGAGTGGACATGTTCGTGGAGACCTTGTGGAAAGTCTGGATGGAGCTCCTGGATGTCCTTGGACTTGATGGTAGGTGTGGGGGACACTCAGGTGAGGGCTGTCTTAATGTGGCCCAGTGGTGCCGTGTCAACCCTGAGTGCGTTGTCAGCCCGGCGTGGGAAAGATGAAGGCGGAGAACCAACGTTGCTAGTGAATCTTCTCATTTCAGCAGCTGTGCATGTGAGTGACCATCAAGACCTTCACCTCCCAGGCACCCTATGGGATGAGGCATGAGGGGGTCATGCCCTCTGGGGAGTTCCCAGGCAAATCATAGAGACCTGGTTTGCTGGGAGCCATTAAAAAAAAAAAAAAAAAAAAAAAAAGCTAATTGTTTAGTGAGGGAGATTTCATGGAAAATCAGGCACTCACAGAATCATCAGGACACCTGAGGGGTCGTGGGGACCCCCGGGCCTGCTGGGGTGCAGCTGCTGGGGTTGTTGAGTCCAGGGGCAAGGTCATGGCTGGGAGTTGGGCCCAGGAGGCTCCTGCACCACCACAGCACCTGGATTTGCCCTGTGCTGCGGGGCAGGGGCAGGGCCGTGTTGCCGCAGCCAGCGGGAGTGCGGGTGGCCAACGGCCTGCTGGGCCGAGGTGCCGCGCGGTTCACCTGAGCAGTGCCAGTCACTCTCAGCCAGGAGGAGGGTCTGGGGCACTTCCGGCCCTTGCTGCCCTCTGGCGAGGATTTCAGTATTAGGGTTGGCCGGTGGCAGGGCAAGGTGGTGAGGGGCTCTGTGTCTGGCCGCCCCACCCTTGTGCCTTCCTTCCTGGGTGACTGTCCCCCTCTCCCCAGGGCAGGGTGGGTGGCAAAGCCTTCAGTGTTCATCCAACGGCTTCAGGAGCTGGCCTGGGCACGGCCCTACTACATGCTGGCTTTTATGCCCAGAGCATATGCCCTTCTCCCACTTGAGGTCTCCCATGGTGTCCCCTGCGTCAGCATGAAGCCTCTGTCCAGCTCTTCCCAGCTCGCCTGTGGGGTGCCGGCTCCCGGCCATCCTGGGGACGCAGGCCCTGGGCAGTGGGCCATCTGGGGGGGTCCCTGGGCAGGCCCTCTTCCCACCTCTGCCACATGGCCCTGCTATGGCCTCTCACTCCATCAGGAGTCTGCGGTCGCCTCCGGGGTGGGTGGTCACCAGGAGAGCTGCAGGACTCCACCTAGCAGTATCCTCACAGCTTGTTCTACTAGAGCCAAAGAACACCAAGCACGTCTAGAGAGAGAAGCTGCCCGGGGAGCCCAGCAAATGCTGGCTTCTGGAGCCCCCTTGACTCAGTCAGGACAAACTGACCCCTCAGTTGTGGGTTGTGCACCTGAGGCTGCGTAAGCTGTGCTCTTCCAGTGGCCCCATTAGACGGTCAGCACCCGGGTCTGTATGGGGCTGGTCACATGGACACTGCCCACTCGTACCAAAGGCCGGGCTTCTAGCAGGCAAGCAGGCCGCACCAGTTAGCTGTCATTGCTGTGACCAAGACACCTGACAGGAGCGGCTGACAGGGGAAAGCTCACTCTGGGCTCCTGGTTTTAGGAGTTCAGCCCCTGGTGGGCTGACTCCATAGCTGTGGGCCCAGGGGGGCAGAACACCTGGTGGAATGGCAGTGGGAACACTGCTCACCTTGCAGTGGCCGGGAAGCGGAGGGTGGGAAGGGGCTCGGGGAAGATGCAGCCGTCCAGGGGACCCCCGTGGCCCAGCTCCCGGCCCTCCCACCGAAGTCCCTGCCCACCCAGCTGTCCCACCAGGATGGACTGATCACCCCACAGCGCTCATGATCACTTCACCTCTAGACCTTGCTGCAGGGACGGGAGCAAGGGATGCCCCACATGCAAACTCTAACTCGGATGTTCCCCGGGGGCTGCCCTGGGCGTGTTCAGCCTGGCCTGTGTCCTGCCCACCTGCTGGCTCTGCCTGGCACAGAGGGGCCTTCTGTTTATACTAAGGGCAGGAAGACTGTCAGTCCTGTGGCCTTGCCAGTCGGGGTGGCCTTGTGTCCCTGGGACGTGTGAGTGGGCCCTTGTTTGGGAACAGGTCTGTACAGATGTGAGCAAGCTTTGGGAAGGTCACCTCGGATTCGCGTGGCCCTCGCTGTTTCGACAGTTGTCCCATAAGAAGTGGGAAGTTTGGGTGCAGACACATCCAGGACAGGAGATGGGTGAGGCAGCCCAAGCTGTCACCAGGTGGGCACAGGGAGCACAGCTCTGATATCAGACCCGGGAGCTCACAGAGCCCTGGCACTGCTCGGGGGTGCGCTGGTCACGCTCTGCCATCAGTCCCCAGCCTCCAGGAGGCCACCTCGCTGCTCCATCAGGGAGCCAGGCAGCACGGGCCTCCTGAGGATGCCGTGCAGTGCTCAGCCCCTGGGGCCTGGCTGAGCCAACACAGCCCCAGACGCAGCAATCGCGTGCAATGCTGCAGGAGTCCTCGCTATGCTGCCTGGAGGTCAGCCTCTGGGCCTTCCCTCCCAGTCAGGGAGCCCTGGAGAAGAACCTGTAAGACCTACAGTGTGGGAGCATGCCCCTGGCCATGGCCGAGCACCAGAGCAGCCACCTGCAGAGGCTTCCCCAAGTTCCGGCTTTGTCCTTTCTGCTCCACTCACAAACCTCAGGGCACTGGGAGGCCCTAGGAGGCCGTGGGGCAAAAAGGTCTCCGTGCACAGAATGCTCCCTGGAAACTGTGGGCCGGAGGTGAACGCGCTGGACCAAGGGCTTCTGAGCACCGTCGGCTGGTTTCCTTCATAGTTTTTCAGGGGGGTGGCCCAGAGCAGTCCAAAAGGAGCAAACACGGCATTGAGTTTTCCAGGTGGTGGCGGATGTCTATGACCCTAGCAACTCGGGAGGCTGAGGCAGGAGGATCACAAGTTCCAGGCCAGCTCAGCAACTCAGCAAGACCCTGTCTCAAATTAAAAAATAAAAAGGGCTGGGGTGCAGCTCAGAAGTCAAGCACCCCTGGGTTCAATCCGTAGCACTGCAAGAAAGTTCTGATTAGTAAAGGATTAAAAAAAAAATGGTGAAATTAGTTTTGAGAAGGTATTTTTATTAATAGAGTCAGAATGTCACCTTCTCAACTTGTAATCAGCATAGAAATCACACATTTTTCAGGTACAGGCTGAGCACCCCATACAGAAAGTTCAAAGTCATGTTTTGAAATCTGAACCTTTTTTCTTTTCCCCCTCTTTTGAAGGCTTGGGGTGGAACCCAGGTGTCTTGTGTGCTAAGCACACACTTGCCTACTGAGCCACACCCCAGCCCCTGAGATCTGAAACTTTTAATCACCAATATAACATTAAAATCATGTTATGTTTTGGAGCATTTTAGATCTAGGGTACATGGACTAGGGGTGCTCAGCTTGGTGAAATCTGCGCACCTGTTCCAAAATCTGAAAAAAACTGATCCAAAACGCTTCTGGTCCCAGGCATCTTGGATGAGGGTGCTCGACCCGAGCCAGGTCTTGGAATCTGGTCTGGATTGGCTCTCTGGGCACAGCTCATGGGAGAGGGGCATAGACGATGGGCAGACCCCGGGGGAAAGCCATGTGAGACGCAGCGGGGGCAGCTCACGATGCTTGCCAGCAAGCACAGAAGCCAGGAGGGGTCCTGCCCTCCCGCTGAGCATCAGCTCAGATCTTTGGCCTCCAAACTATGGGGAACTGGCGTCAGTTGCTTTAAGCCCCTGGGTTTGTCACTTGGTTGTGTCAGCTCTAGAAAGCCAGTCCAGTATCCCTGGGCTCTGGCTGGATCACAGGTCCTGGTGTTCTGTCGGTGGTTGGAAGAGCTAGGAGTGAGGTGGCCTCTTTTAGGGTTTGTTGTTGTTGTTTTTGGTACTGGGGATTGAGGTTGGGGGAAACTCAACCATTGAGCCACATTCCCAACCTTTTTTTATTTTTTATTTAGAGAAAGGGTCTCGTGGAGTTGCTTAAGGCTTCTCTAAGTTGCTGAGGCTGGCTTTGAACCCATGGTCCTCCCGCCCCAACCTCCTGAGCTGCTGGGATTACAGGTGTGCACCATCATGTCCCTGAGAGGTTGCCTCTGAGCGCATCCCTTGGTTGACATGATTGTTCCTGCTGCAGCTCGGGGGTGTAGAGGGTAGGGTGGCCGTGTTGGCTGCAGGTGACCAGGGGGTCCTGGGGATGGAATCAGGCCCTTGAGCATGCTAGGCAAGCTTGTGCCACTGAGCCACACCCAGCCTCTGCGGATGTCTGTATCTGCTGATCACCTGCCGTAGTCTTTTGGTAGCATGGCACGTGTTATGTGGCTTTGGACCTGTAGTCTGGTCCAATGGTTCTCAAAGTAAGCCCTGAGGGATGCCAGGAGGGTCCTTGAGCCCCTTCCAAGGAATCGCTCCCTTTCCCAGTGACACCTCTGGGTTGAACACATACTTGAGTAATTTGTTTTGTATCGATCGTTTGGGCCTAAACATCCTGTGCACCTTGGTCCTGCCTGTTTGTTTGCTCTTTCTATGGGTGCTGGGCTTGCGTGGCTGGCCTTCTGTGAGGGGCTGGGCTCTTCCCACAGGCCGGCTGTGGGGAGACCTGGGGGTGCAGGAGAGTGCCCCCGCTCTCTGCTGTCGGTTCTGCAAGGCGCCTGAGTTTGCCTGTCGTCTTAATCATGGGTGCGATGAGAACGTCCCCTAAGCTGGGGGGACTACAGCCTGATGCCCACAGTTCTGGAGGCTGGGAAATCCAAGGCCAGGGCACCCGCAGATTTGGTATCTGGTGAAGGCCTTTTTGTCACGGATAGCGTCTTCTCCCTGTGTCCTCGCGTGGTGGACGGGGTTGGACAGCTTCCTGGGGACTCTTCCATGAGGGAAGAGTCAGCCCCATTGTGGTCAGTCACCTCTAGAACTTCCTGTGGCCGTCATACTCAGGGTCTGGATTTCAGTGCAGACTGTGGAGGAGACATGAACCCAGCACCTGCAATGGCGCATCGTTGCTAGGAAGTGAGTGAATTTCATCAAGGCTTAGCTGTCACCAACAAGTTGCTAACCAAGTTCTAGTTTCTCCTGGTGGGTGGTGCTGGGTGGCCACGTGAGCAGAGGTTCCTGAGGTCTGCTGCTGAGGGCAGAGGGCCGGGCAGGGGCTTCCGGAGTTGCGGAGACTCCTCCTCCGTGGGGTTTGGTGTGAGGGTTGGCTCCAGGGCCAAGGCCATGTGCAGTTGAGGGCCAGGCGGTGCCCAGGAAGGCTCCTGTGGAGGACTGTGGCTTTCAGGGAGTCCTGGTGGCCCCCATGTTCAGTTGGGCTTCTGTTCATGGGAGTGGGCTCTGGGCCTGAGCCCTGCGCTGGGCGGTGATCTGATCGTTTGCAGGGGCATCAGAGACGGGGGCCCCGGGTCTGAGGCCCTCGCTCACTCTTGCTCAGGGTCCTGATGGCTGCTCCAGCATGTCCCCACATACTCCACCCCCACCCCCAGACACATGGAGCTTATTGCACCTAAGCTGCAGGACCCCAGGGTGTGACCCTTAGATCGGCAGCAGCAGCAGCCTCACCCTGGACCAGTGCAGACCTGGCACAGCCCTGCCGAGTCCATGTCCTGGGCAGGGTTGGCGGTGTGGTGTCCTGTTTTCCCTGGAGCTCTGAGGCCCCCTCGAGCCTCAGGGTGGCTGCCGTGGGGGAGAGGCCTTGGAGAGGACTGCCGTGGGCGTGGTCAGCTGCTCCGTGCAGTAGCAGGCGGCGCCAGAGTGCAGAACTCTGGGGAGACTGGCCTGCAGAGACGACCAAGGGCCACGGCCATGGCACTCCTGGGTTAGAGGGGGCCAGAGTAGTGGCCCTGTGGGGCAGGGAGGAAGCAGCTCTAGATGTGTTCCTGGGTAACTGGGAAATCGGAGCCATACCCTGGAGTCACCTCAGCTTTGTGGCTTTGGGGAGGACCACGACTGTATTGAGAGATGTGTTGTGGTAGGGGCTGGGGATGTGGCTCAAGTGGTAGTGCGCTCGCCTGGCATGCATGCGGCCCAGGTTCGATCCTCAGCAGCACATACAAACAAAGATGTTGTGTCCCCCGAAAACTAAAAAATAAATATTAAAAAATAATTCTCTTTCCCTCTCTCTCTCCCCCTCCCTCCCTCTCCCTCTCTCTCTCTAAAAGAAAGAAAGAAAGAAAGAAAGATGTGTGGTGGGATTCGGTGCGTCTATTTTCCAAATGATTCAGCCTGGAAAAGTAGTCAGTGTGGAGAGACGGGCAGAGGTGGCACGCTGGAGGGCCGCTTGGCCAAGGCGGTCTCAGTAGGGATGTTCCTCTCTTCTTTCAACTTTCTATCTGAGTCGGGCACACAGAGCTCCCATTTCTCCGTTCCACAACCCCCTGCATGGGGATGGAACCCAGGGTCCCACCCAGGCAGACAAGCCTAGACGAGTGCCCTGCCCTGACCCCGCCCCAGCCTCCACCCCATTCCTACAGGAACCCCACATGTGAGTCACAGGCCCAGAGGAACAGAGGCTTCAATCACAGTGGCCTAGCCAAGATGGTGTGTTTCCATCTTGTGCGTGACATTCACAAATAGGTGGTCAGGAGGTATGGTGGCTCTGCTGCGCCTCAGGCCACCACATCTTCTATTTTTTTGTCCCTTCCATAGGCAACTTCCTTTTCTTCAGGGACCAAGATGGCTTCTCCAGCTCTAGCCATTGAATCCATTCCATCAGGTAGAGAGAGGAGGTGGTAAAGGGCACCCGTCTGCTCCTTTTGTAGAAAACTTCTTGAAGTTTCCATTTACCTCCTCTTGGCAAGAAACTTAGTTACAGAGCTGTAAAGAAGGCTGGGAAGTCTCTATCTTAGGCAGCTGTGCACCAGCCTAGGGTGGAAATTGAAGGACGACTAATAGGCTCTGCCCAGTGTTAAGGCATTTTAATGCCATTTTCTTTCTCTTTTTTTGCAGCACAGGGATGGAACCCAGGGCCTTGTCCGCGCTAGGCAAGTGCTGCACTACTGAGCTGCGTGCCCCCGGGAGGCCTGTACCTTGCAGGAGGTCCCAGGAGGGCTCTCCTGTGTCTTCCCACAGGGCTTAGTGTTGAGGCCAGGGCATGACTCACCGCGGGTCTTTGGTGTGTCGCAGGCGCCTTTGAAGCCCTGGCCCGGGGACTAACTGGCCTGTCCTGTGCTCTGTTCACAGTCTCCAGCCTCTCCCAGTACTTCAGCCCAGCCTCTGTGGCCAACAGCCCTGCGCGAGCCCTGCTGCTGGTGGGCGTCGTCCTCCTGGCCTACTGGTTCTTGTCCCTGACCCTGGGCTTCACCTTCAGCATCCTGCACCTGGTGTTCGGCCGCTTCTTCTGGGTGGTGCGGGTCCTCCTGTTCTCCATGTCCTGCGTGTACATCCTGCACAAGTACGAGGGCGAGCCCGAGAGCGCCGTGCTGCCGCTCTGCCTTGTGGTGGCCGTGTACTTCATGACCGGGCCCATGGGCTTCTACTGGCGCAGCAGCCCGGGCCCCAGTGTGGAGGAGAAGCTCGAGCACCTGGAGAACCAGGTCAGACTGCTCAACATCCGCCTCAACAGGGTGCTGGAGAGCCTGGACCGCTCCAAGGACAAGTGAAGGTCAGCCGGCCGGCTGGGTCCGCCGGCCAGAAGACAGAAGAGGAGGAGAAGAGCAGCAGCAGCAGCCCCCAAGCAGTCTCAATAAACACCGTGCGCGCAGGAGCCGCTTGGTGAGGTGTCTCTAACCGCGTGTCAACCTAGGACCCGGTCCAAGAAGGATGCGAGACCACTTACGTAGACTACACGCCATGTGTCATTAGTAGAGAAAATATTTTTTAAACAAAGGATATAACCCTATTAGCTGTACAGTAAGAGAAATTTATCTGTGCATAGAACATAAAGTTAATTTTTTCAAGCATTTAAATACATCTTTTGTAAGGTTTTTAAACAAGGGCAGATTGAGTCAAGTTTATGAGAACTTCACACTGAAGGGGAGAATATGCTAATTTGATCTTTTTAGAGGAGTTTAAATGCCAGTGTTTGTTTCTGCAACGTTCCGGTGGTGGGTGAGGTCTGTGCTTTCTCTTTGTGGTGCAGGACTGTGAGCTTTATTGTGTGTCCTGGTGGCTGATGTGGACTTGGTGGGTGGGTGTTGTCACTTCTAAGTGGGGCCAGTTGAGCTTGAGGCTGGAGCTCAACTTCTTGGATCCTGGGAACCCCGCCAGTCCTGTCAGTCGTATTTTCTAAATGAAGAAACCATCATTCGTGGGAGCCCTGGGTCTTCCTGCCCCTGTGTTGTAATGCATTTAACCTCAGCATTTCTGGAAGGAGAATGCACGGACTGAGCCAAGAAGCTCAGGGATTTGGGACTTGGCGCTAAGCCGCCTGGTGGAGCCTTGCAGGCCGAGCAGGGGCCTGGAGCCGCCTGCCTTTGCCACTTGCGGGTGAGGCCTGTGTGGGAGAGCTGTCCCCGAGGGCGTTGTCCCCGAGGGCGTCTATCCCCTGGCCCATCTTGCCCAGATGACTTGGGATCTTGGGGGACAAGTGAAGGCCATGGCTGGTACCACTGCACCGTCTTCCGGTCCTGCCGCTGCTGCTTCTCCCGTTCTCAGGAGAAACAGGCCCTGGAGGGGATCAGAATTGTTTTTCTGGAAATCTTCACAACCCACGTGTTGGTTGCTTTCTGTGCAGGATCCTTTGGGTGGGCTCTGGGGCAGCGGGGAACACTGCAAGTGGACGGCTGGGGCATCCCAGGCGAGGCGCGGGATGGGGGCTGGTGGACTCGCCCTTTGCTGGACCCTGTCGGGCGAGGCAATGAGCCCTGGCGGGATGAGGCTCTGGAGTAGGTGGGGTTGCAGCTGCACATTGTGCCCCTCCCTGGGCCCACGCAGCCTTGTGTGGCGGTGCCTCTGCTCTGAGCACAAGGCCCCAGGTGCCATCTGGAATGCACCGTGTATGCCCGACTCTCGGAGCTGTGCATCAGTGACCCTCCCTTTTCCTTTTCAAGTACCGGGAGGCAGAGGCAGATGCTTCAGAGGGTGCATCTGAAGGTCTGTCCCCAAGGTGTCCCCGACTCAGACTCCAGCTTTGGGTTCGCTTCCTGGGACCCACCCCTGTTCTGGGGCTGGCTTGGGCGAATCTGTATTGATTGGCATCCAGTTTTGTTGTTTAGCTGTCCCCTTATACATGCAGCCTGAGGCCCTCGTAGGCCTGTTTCCTTGCGTGCGTCTGGCTGTGCCATGCGTCTGGCTGTGCCAGGTTGTGGTACCCAAAGATGGCTTTGCACACCTTGGTCGGTTCTGTGCACAGTGCTGGTGGGTCCTGCCCTGCAGGGGCTCCTCTGCCTGAGGTCATCATGCCTGAGCTGTCCCCTGGTCCAGGTGTGACATCCACCCCAACCTTTGCCCACATTCCTCCCGCTCTAGAGCCATCATCTTTTTAACTCCTGGGCAGTCGGAAGGCGCGTGCCTCTGGGTGCTGGCGGGGTGAGGCCAAAAGTCACTGTGGAAAGCACACAGTGTTTTCTTCAATTTGGCCACGTATCAGCTCTGAAGCCACATTTATAGTTTGATATACTCAAGTAAAAGATGTCTTCGTTTTTAATGAAGAAACTATCATTAACCAGTATCATTTCAGGGTAGAACATTATTTGAAATTCTGATAGAAACCCTGAGATGGTAGGTTTAAGGTTTGTCTTGGGTTTTGGTGCTGAGGTGGAACCCAGGGCCCTGCTCCTGGCTGTGTAAGCACTTCACCACTGAGCCCAGCCCTGCCCCAGCCCAGCCCCAGGCCCCACCGCCCCTCCTACCCCCTCCACCCCTCCTACCCCCTCCACCCCTCCTGCCCCCCCTACCCCTGCCCCAACCCTGCCCCAGGCCCAGGCCCAGGCCTGAAAATTTTTGAATAGTTTTCAGTGCATAAATTTTGCTTTGTTTGAGTACATTCCTTTTTTTGGCACTGAGGATTAAACCCAGCGGTGTTCTGCTACTGACCCACAGCCCCAGCCTCACTAACCTCAGACAGGGCCTCACTAAGTTGTGACCTCCGGAGTGGCTGGGATCACAGGCGTGCCCACTGCACCTGGCTATTTGGGTGTATTCTTAACCCTTGTAGAGTATCTGGCCTCCCCCCAACATCTCTTTCTTTCTTCTCTCTTTTGTATGTGAAAAAATGTATTTTTGTACCATAACTCATAGCCTCGAGGAGAGACCTTTTTATACCGTCAGGCCTGTAGAATATATTAGTGCAGCACTTCACTGAATGTGATATTAAAAAAAAAAAACCGTTTTGATGGCAACTGCTACGACTCTGTCATGATTAAGGGTCAATTTTTTAAATATTTCAAAGTTAACCAGTGTTTATTTCCCAGAGCTTCAGTATCACAGTAAGTACTCGCTTTACCAAGGACAGAAAGGAGCCCAGGAAAGGAAGAGGGGGCCATCTCTGGAGCACTGGGTCTGGGTGGCCACCTGGGTGGGGCATCTGGAGCTGCTGTGGGTGCAGAAGCCTGGCCCAGAGCGCTGCCCAGCACCTGGTGGCCTTATCCAGCTCTTGCTTTGTGCGTGGCTCCCTGTGGTCTCTGGCATTGAAGTACAGCCACGGGGCGTCTTGAAAACTGGCCTAGTGGATGGTGCCCAGGGCTTCCTCCACACCAGTGGTTGGTGATAGTACCTGGAGGTGGCTGCCATTGGAAATTTTTAATATGGGTCCCCATTAGGCCACATGGGTCATGACCAGAGGGATGGGAAACTGGGACAGGCCTGGGTGCTGGCCAGGAAGTGACCAGATGGGAACTGAGAACATGGGGATTGGGTGAGAGGCCAGGAGAACCATAGCAGAACTTCTTCAGGGACAGTGACACCTGCTCCGGCCACTCGTTGGTCCTGGGGTCAGCGGGCCTGCAGGGGGTTAGGAATGACTCGTGGAGATGACTCTCCATAGCGTCTGGGGACAGGGCTGTGCCTCGTGGCCAGGGGCATCCTGAAATGTTTGTTTGTTAGGACCTGGGGATTTAACCCAGAGACAATTTACCACTGAGCCACATTCCAGCCCTTTTTATTTATCATTTCAAGACAGGGTCTAAGTTGCTCAGGTTCTCACTGTGTTGCTGAGGCTGACCTCGAACTTGTGATCTTCCTGCCTCCACCTCCTGAGCTGCTGGGATTACAGGCGTGTGGCACTGTGTGCATTTCTTGCTAGTTCTTAAGATGCCTTGATGAGTGACATCTGGCTTCCAGGTAGACACTGATAGTTTCTCCTGGTGGGTTTTGAGTCTGCCAGTCACAAAGCCAGCTCTTGCCATCCATCTTGCATTAGAGGGACCTCCAAAGTCTCCTGAGTGTTGAGCCCCCCTACCCCTTTTCACTTGCCAGGCCGTGGATTTTTAAAAGGCATATTATCATCCTGGGGAACTTTTATTTTTGGCTCTTTGACTGCTTGGACTTCTTGCTCCTTGCTTGTGAATAGCTGAATTGTGTGCTTTTTACAGGACCCAACACAGTCCCCTTAAAATTGTCAACGTGGAGTAGGACCTGGTACCTGGGGCCGCTCAGCACCCTGCATTCCCATAGGTGGCCACGCCCCAAACCAGTTCTCTGGTAGCACAGAACCGGTTTGTGGTTTGCCCAGTCGGCTGAACACAAAACCTTGAATTTAAGTGTTCAGTTGGAAATAGGTTGCCAGGTAAAACAGAGAAGGGTTAAACTTGAATTTCAGATAACCCAGCAGGGCCTT